TGTGTGTGTGTGCGTGTGTGTGTGTGTGTGTGCGCGTGTACTCACCGAAAAGAGAGGTGTGCATGCTTCAAATAGCGAAAATTTAATTAACAGGAAGTCGTCAAATTTTGGAGGGACACTGAGATGGGTTGTTTTCTTAAGTTGCATAAGTTTTAAGAAAAAATTCTTGCCCGTCAAGGTTGATACCTCGTTGGTTTTCAATTAATTTAATTGCCTTATAAAGAGACTCTTTATGCACTTATTAATTATTTGAGCGTATGATTTACTTCCCTTAAGTCTGTTTGTTTAAACAAGCATAAAATACAGCGATATTTCTCCTTTTAAAACATGTCACGCATGTTGGAAAATAATAGACAGCGAGCTTTGGGAATGCTCCAACCTGGAAGTACACAGCGAGACTCAAAGGTTCAGCGTCCACAGACAGTTTTGGACGTTTGTGGGCAACTTATGTCGGGGCGTCTGGAACGACGAATGATCGTTCTGGAGTCCTAGGCTTCAGATCAAAACGCTGAGACAAAACCGACACATTTTCCTCATTCACCTCCAGAGCAAATTGCGTCCTGCATCTCTGATCGCACGCTATATTCTGGATTAAAACCAATCTTAGCGAGAACTGTGAGGAATCGTTCCCGGGAGATAAACTTGAGACCCTACAGACCAGCTATCAGACTTATAATACTTCAGCCACATCATCACAGGGCTCGACACATTTGGGCGATACCCCATTTGCGTTGGACAGACATTGGCTGGAGAAATGAATCTCGATTCCGTCTTCAAGAATATAATGGAAGGCAACAGACAATTCAACAACCCCTGACAGATTATGTTGAACGGCGAGAAATCGCTATATGGATCTATTCATCTATATATAGATATAATATGTATGTATGCGTTTGTGTGTGTGTGTGTGTGTGTGTGTGTGTGTGTGTGTGTGTGTGTGTGTGTGTGTGTGTATTACAATGACCGTTCTAAAGTCACTAGATAGAACTAGTCTGGTCAAAGAACTGTCAATTAACCCTTTGTCATACTTTGTGTTCCATGATCAGTCATGTCATTGAGAGGATAATGAAGAGTTGAACAGGTTTTGGGGTGTTTATCATAGTTTTAATCCATTTTCTTTTGCCAGTCTGGGCTGTTGGGATCATCGTACTTTTCAAATATATTATTATAGCACCTTGTTTTTATGGATATCAGGCTCATCATGTCAGTTGTGTCAAATTTCAAGTTACTATTGATTATGCTAATTCCGGGTGCGTCAGTCCAATGGGAGTCAGCAAACGATGATGCTCGATGCGACGAGACACCGCGCGGGTCTGGGGCCTAAAGGGTTCTATTTGCAAAGTATTCACGTTGTTGACACTAATGGAAGGTTTTAGCTTACGGCCTGCTGTCTGCCTTGCCTGTCGGTATCAAATTTCTTTAACTTTCAAGTCCTTTATGCTGACAGACTTTCGCGTCAGTTTTCTGTTTTGTGTAAGAGCCTACTGGTCCGATAGAACGTAGCCGCTGTGTGTACTGCGGGGGTTAGGGTGAGTTACGGCAGACGAGAGGGTGATATTTAATTTAAGAAAACAAGTTGTGTTTGGTAATTCTCTCCAGGTAAAGCATTTTACGTAGCTGGAAAGTTACCGGCTCAACTTCGTTTCAGAATTCCATTTTGTTCTGTTTCTCGGGATATAATTTTCAATATTTTGACTTTGGGCGAACTGCTATCTTTCCGGAAGTTGATGGTGGAGGTTTCGTTTCTGTCGTCGTCGTTGTTGTTTTCATTGTTATAGAGCTGTTGTTTTCTTGTTCTTGCCGCTACTGGAGTTTTTCTTGTTATTTTATTTGTTGACGGCGCTGTTATTGTTGTTGTTGTTGTTGTTGTTGTTGTTGTTGTTGTTGATGTTGTTGTTGTTGTTATTGTTGCAACTATTGTTTTTGTTAATGCATTTGTAAAATAATATTGTCTTCAATGAAGTTTATGGAAGTGTATTTATCATCAGGTTCATGGGACACGGAACAAAGGCCCGATTGATCTACCCCGAAATAGATTGAGACATAAAGTCCATACACAGCCGCCTTCTGGGCGTACAGCACGACACACTCACGAGTCTCCGGTAGCCACGGGACTTATCACAAGTGGCCATTCCAAGCGACCGTCACAAAGTGGTCATTGTACGATGACGCGAGACTACGGTGGCTGTTTCGGCGGGCGCTGTTTTCACCGAGATGATGAGGAGGACGACGACGACAATATCGACGGCTACTACCGCCTCAGCTCAAGCGGGGGCCGGCCAGAGACCGTGCCCATGAGCAGGGATGGCGGCGCAGATGACGACCAGGATCCTCATAATGATTACTTTAGGCCTGTGGACGCCTACCAAGGCAGTCACCGGAACAAGGAATATGACGAGGTGGACATGAAGGGCAAGAGGCTCAGCAAAAAACTAAGAAGAAGAGAGGTACTTTTTAGATGTCCTTAACGAGACTAGGAGGAGTGGCCCTCATAATGTCTATCACTAAACAGGGTGGAGAGAGGTATTTCATAGATGTAGACTGAAGACTGACAAACAGAGTTTGGGGCGTCTGTGCTATACTATACGTATAAAGTTAGTACTCAGTGTATCGTTGTACAACCCTGTTATATCAAACGGAATCCCGGACAGTGTACAAAATACATGCCAACAAGTTACTCAAGTTTCATATGATCTCCTGTCTGAGAAGAATACGGGAGATTCACTGGAGGGATAAGATCCCCAACACTGATGTTCTTGAGAGTACAAAAGCCCGTAGTATCTTCTGCCATTTGAAGAAAAAATCCACCTTAGTTCGACAGGGCACTTGGTCTGAATGCCGAACATACGGCTCTCCTAACCTATTTTCCACTCAGAATTGGTATGTGGAGCGCGAACCATAGGTGTCGCCCCCGCAAAAAAATTAATAAAAAAATTTAAAAAAATATAAAGACAGTCTGAAGACGTCTCTGAAAGACTGGCCCTTTGATGTGAATGAGTGGGAAGTCCTTTGTCTTATTCCGTCATAGTGGCGTTAAAGCCGTGACATGTGGCAGCAAGGCTACCGAGTTTGTAAAATCAACCAGAGGAACAAGAAAATCAAGCAAACCCTGACAGATCACAAGTACTCTGTTGAAAATTCTTTTCAATAAGAATCGCGTTTAAGTGAAGCTACAAAAAAAGTTTAACCAACTAACCATATTTACCATAATTTTGGCAGATGGAGAGG